CCAAGAAAAGAAACTCATGATTGTAAAACATGGAATTATCAGACAGTTTAATACCTCTGATCACAGTATATCAGAGAAGTGTAGTTTTCATGAGAAAGTGAAGAATAAACTTGTACAAGAATGTATTTAGTTGTTTCATAAGTGTTATCAATAATCATTATCAAATTCTGATTATATAAGTAATCACTGAATGAACTGAATGAGACTGATTTTAATCTTCAGTCTCAGTCTCATTCTGATTTTAGAAGAATAATCATCTTTCACGGTTTATTCTGAGAAATTACTCTCATTTCACTGTTCTTGAATTAAATCTGGTCATTTTTCACGCCATTTCTCTCAGAAATGATCCATTTTCAGATTTTTTTGAGGCTTGGTCCTGGTGGGACTCACGCCAAGAAATGTATGAGATCAGACCAAATGAGACCAAATGTGAAATTCATGGTCCCGCCGGCCAGTCTAGTTAAGACTGCTGCAGGACCTGATTCAATTAATCACTTAATTATTCAAAATACATACTTCTACTTAAAGAATGAATATTTTGAGCTCTTTTTCAATCTCTTGAAAAATGAATATTATTCTGAATGCTGAAGAGAAGTCACTGAAGTGATTCTTATAAAATCTAATAGAAAAACTTTAATTTTCAAGTTATATAGAGTAATATCTCTATTGAACTGTCTAGAAAAGATTTTAGAAAAGATAATAGCTACTTAACTATCTTTTATAAGCTTTATCAGTAATTCTCTTTTATTCAGTGAATAAATGAGAGATAGAAAACAGTGTTCTGCAATTGACACTGTTCTCTCAGTTGTTCATGATATTCAAATAGCAAAGCATGAAGATCTGGTCTCAACTGCAGTTTTTATTGATATAAAAGAAGTATTTAATCATGTTTCAAAGTCAAAGTTAATTCAGACATTGAAGATGTTAAGACTGCCACTTTCTCTAATAAAATGAGTTAACTATTTTATATCTAAAAGAAGTATACAACTTTTCTTTGATGAAATGAAACAAGATAAGACTGAGATAAAAATAGAAGTACTATAAGAATCTTTAATCTCACTCATTTTATTTAAAATATACACTGCATATCTATTCAAAAATAGAAATATGAGAATAGTGTGATCTCTGAGTTATATAAATGATATTGATCTAGTCTACAGCTCAAAAACTATCAAAGAGAATTTGAAAGTGATTGAAAAAGCTGCAAAGAAAATCTTTGTTAGAGCAGATATCAATCAAATTCAATTTAATATAAATAAAACTGAGTTAATTCATTTCTTTTCTAGATTCAATGAGAAAGAACTATCTCTAACTCTTTTAAATAGAGAGATTAAACTCAGTGTAAATGTCAAGTAATTAGAAGTATGATTAAACTTCAAGTTGAATTTTAAATATCACATTCAACAAAGAACTGTCAAGGCAGAAAGACTATTGAACAATATAATCAGACTATCAAATACAGAGAGAGGTCTTTTCTTCCAGGCTATGAGACAGTTATATATAGTCTGTATTACATCAGTAGCTGATTATGAAGTTCAAGTTTAATGAAATAATCAAGAGAATTTCACTGAACTCTTTCAAAGTCTGTA